GCAGTTCTTGGAGACATGGAACCAGCCTTTGACACAACTTGTAATGAGTTATCTTATATTTGTTTTCAGAGTAATCGATCAGTTTATAATAGATTTGAGACTTAGGTGGAAGAGATTTTTTTATCACTTATGACCCTACCAAGAAGATGCAGTCCTTTTTTATAGTTAAATATATTTAGTGTTGTAATGATAAAGATTTTGAATTCAAAATAAAAAGAGTCTTTTGTAAATTATGAATTTTGAAATGATGATTTTTTTTAAAAGTCTAGGGCGTGACACTATCGATAAATCAAAATGATCAAGTTTAGTAAGTACTATGAATATAAAAATAACATCACTATTCTTTGACCCTGACTTGGTAAGTAAAACATGAACCAAGTTGGGAATGAATTGTATCTTGTCGAAATCCATATTCAGTTGATGTCTGACCAATTTTTCAATCATTTCCAAGTAGCGACGTTGTGGGTGATAGGTGAATGAAGTCAGTAACTTCACTACCAATGTTTCTCTGATTAAATACAAGGAAATAAGTCGGGTTAACATATGGAAGGCCTTGACAAAGCTTCCTCACTAGAGCTTGATATGTTATGCAAGTGCGATTGTCGAAAATTTGTCATCTTCTCGAAGTCACCATTATGTACCCAATCTCCACTTTTTTCTCCCTCTAGTGTTTGCATATCTTGCAAGCACCACCAATTTTGGTTTAATTCATGAGGGATAGAGAAACACGTGTATCAACGATTAAATTTTCTAAAATGAATTTAGTATACTCTCGATGGAATATGTATATTATATCTTACAGATCAATAAACGACAAAGATTACCAATAGTTTCCTTATTTCTATAAGGATGAGGTTTATGTATCTCAATATGATGGGAACACCCTGAAAATCTGGTATTTTGAGAAACTTGGTTCCATGGAAGCTAATTTCTTTTGCCTTGTATATATCTCCTATACGTGACTAGTTTAGGAGTATAGCGCTTCAATGACATATACTTATTGATACCTTAGCATTTGCGATACCGAGATATCATATACCAATTGAGTCATTAATGTTGATAATAGACCTATATAAGTTGAGGTTACCAACTTCTGACCGATTCAGGTCTAGTAGATGATCATGAATATGAACACTTGCCATATCTCCAGTCAGATTCTTGTCTGTCAATTGTATAAGAGATCTCTCCACTAGCTTTATCAGATATATCCTTACAAATTCCTTTATTTGGCTATGGTTGAATGATGTCCTCGACCATCCATAAATGTATTAATCTCTCATCTATAATCTTACGAGCCTCCGGGAATGCAACAAAGTAGAGGAAGCATGACTTCAAGTGATGAAATATTATGGGAATTGAGATCTATATCCTTCGAGTTACGTCTTCACATCTTTTGAATTTATAGGAAATATTTTGCAGCACTTCCATCCATTGGCTGATTTGATCTTTTTACTTCATAGAATTTCACTAAGCACAACAATTGTTAGAGGTAATCTATCACATTTTTAGATGATCTCCTTTCAAAACCACTACAAATGAGATGGACAACTTGAATTGAGGAAGACATTTCTGCAAAATAAATTTCAGCTCTATTCAAAACTCAAAAGTTGTAGCTCGTACGGATCAAGATATACAAACTTGGCAACGTTGAGTTTATGTGTGGTAAGCAACACTCTAAATTCAATCCATGCTTTTGGAAATACTGCCTCGATGGTATTCCAAGTTTTTACCTCCCAAATATCAGTCATCGCTACTATCTCTTAAGTGTTGTTCCATCAGCCTGCTCTTCATCTTTGTATTATCCGTATGCTTAATGTTGATAAATGGATACAACAACAACAACAATAACAAAGTCATGAATTTTAACTATTTGGGGTCAGAAAATAGTTGATAAATGGATACCATCGAAAAAATTAATAAATGGATATCATCGAAAAAATTGAAGATATGATATATAGAAACATATAGAGAAAACAAAGGTAAAATCAATCACTTACCTTTAAGCAAGAGTTGTGCCGACACGGATGGAAGACGAGACAGACAATGGGAGGGCATGGATACCAAGTTGCGAAGCCTAGTTGTAGACCTCTTGAAGCCTTTTGTTGATGCACTACATGCAGTTGAGGTACAACCATCCTCCCATGTAACAGATCCAAGGCTCTCACCTTATATCTTCAATTTTTTCGATGGTATCCATTTATTAATTTTTTTGATGGCATCCATTTGCCAATATTAAGGATATAAAGGAGACGTAGATGAAGAGTAGGCTGATGGAATGACACTTAAGAGAGAGGCAATATTTGGTCGTGATGGATGAAGTCTGGGAGGTAAACATTTGGAATGCCATCAAGATAACATTTCCAAAAAGATGGATTAGATCTAGAGTGTTGCTTACCACATGTAAAGTTAATGTCGCCAAGTTTGCAGATCTGGTTACTCATCCATACAAGCTACAACTTATGAGCTTGGAAGAGAGAGAGAATTTATTATGCAGAAAAGCCTTCCTCAATTCAAGGCGCCTTTCTCGTTTATGATCATCCAAAAATATGGTAGATTACCTTTAGTAATTTTGGTTCTTGGTGAGATCCTACGAAGAAAATATTTCTTATGAATTTAGAAAAGATGAAGACAAAACTCGAAGGATACAACTCTTAGTTACCATGATCTTTTATATCATTTAAAGCCATGCTTCCTCGATTTGCTATATTCCCGAAGGCTCAAGATTAGAGACAAGAGAATAATACATTTATGGGCAATGCTTCCTCTATTTTGCTATATTCCTGAAGGCTTATGAGATTAGATAAAAAGAGATTAATACATTTATGGGTGGTTGAGGGTTTCATTCAACCAAAGCAGGGTCAAACAATAGAGGAATTTACAAGGATATATCATTGGGGACTTGATCCTATTGAGGACTTGGAGGATGCTCGCAACCAATGCTTATCAAATAACATTGAGGACTTGACCATATTGTGGTACATAAACCTATCACTTATAGAGATAAGAGAACTATTGATAATCTTTATCATCTGCTGATCTTTAAGGCAGAATATACATATTCAATCGAGAGTATACTAGATTTATTTTGGAAAATCCAAATCGTCGAGACATGTGTTACTCCATCCCTCACGTATTAAACCAAAAGTTGGGTGTTGCTTGCAAGATATGCAAAACTAGAGGGAGTTAAAAGTGGAAATTAGATACGTGATGGTGACTTGAAGAAGATAAATCTTTGACAATTGCAATTGAGTAACATGTGAACCTTAGATGAGGAATCTTTGCTTTATATATGCTAACTCAACTTATTTTTTTGGATCAAAGGGACATTGTTAGCGAAGTTACTAACTTCATTCACTTGTCACCCTCAGCTTTGATGCTTGCCAATGATAAAAAAATTGGTGAGACATCAATTGAATATGGATATTGACAACACAAGGTTCCTTCCCAACTTGGTTTATGTTTTACTTGCCAAGTCATGGCCAGAGAATAGTGATGTTATTTCCATATTTGAAATACTTTCTAGTATTGAACAATTTGATTTATGAGTTGTGTCATCCACGGGGAAGGAGTTGATGCTGCAAGAGCTATTTGTTCCTTTTGTCACCTAACTAGAGATAATTCATTACAATCTTGATGCTTCCTTATTCATAGAATTCAAAAGTTTTTATATGAACAAAATTTTTAATGTGGAATGGTATTCACAAGTTATTCGGTAAAGGTACTGCATGGCTTTCATAATAAAAAAATATTTTATTAGCATTTGCCACTATAAATGCATCTAGATGTTTTTATCTACTAGGTAAAAGAAGTTACTTTTTAATTTTTTCTCTTTAAATGAATTGGTATAAGATACGAATTGATTTCAACTAGGGGCGTTCTAATTGAACTACAAAATTGAACCAAATTGAAACTGAACTTGAACCAAATAGGTTCACCAATGGTTTGGTTTGAAGACTATAAACAGTTCTAGTTCGGGGGTTTGATTAACTGATTCGAACTGAACCGAATCTATTTTAATTTAAGAGATATCTTTCCAATTGAGTTTGCTGCCCTAAGCCCTTAACCCGTTCAAACCGATTAATCAAACCATCTCAAATGTCTAATTTTACAAATGGCATGGGCTTAATTTCACAAATATTGTCATGTCGCTCAATTAGACCAAGATTCCGATTCGGTCGAATTGAATTGAATCGGTTCATTTGAAAAATATCATTGTTATTCTTGAACACTTATTGCTATTTATTATTTGTTATTCTTGTACACTTATTGAGTGATGTTTGTTCCTTTTTCCACCTAATTGGAGATAATTCATTACAATCTTGATGCTTTCTTATTCATGGTATCAAAAGTTTTTAATGCACACAATTTTTAGTGTGGGTTGGTATTCATAAGTTGATGCATGAAATGAATTGGTATACATGCATTAATTGTGTCTAAAAGAATTTGCTCTTTAAATGAATTTGTATAAGCTGTCAGTTGATTTCAACTGGGGGCAAACAACTATGTAATAAGAATGCAAGAATTTCAGAAAACAGCTGGGTGGCAGACCAACCATGTTTTGAAAAAAAAGCATGTTGTGACAACTTAATATCCTAAAATTGGTTATATCTATCCGTCAATCAGAGAACAAAGGCTTTGTAAGTTTTTCTGAATTGATTTAAATCAATTACGTTTAGGCAGTCTGAGTTTTGATTAAATTTGGCATGCATGATAGAATTAGATTATCTTCCACTAGTTTTGGTTTGACACAACATGCTTAGATTATTTTTATATTCTTTTTCATGTTAAAAGGACTAAAGAGAGAGTTTGGCTTTGTTGTCTAGGGGCAGCGGAGTTTTGTAAATGACTTGTTCTCATTATTTTCAGACAGATTCTCGTCTGTTTTTTTGTCACTCATTAGATGATTCACATTGTATTGGAACTACTAATCTATATCTTATTATTTCATATGTGCAAGCACTAAAGTTATTTAAATAAATTTGTTTCCGACTAATCTGCAGGGCGACACAGATGGGTTGAATATGCTGAGAAAGGCCGCTATAATGCGTCGCAAGTGCCGCCCGAATGGCATGGTTGGCTGCACTACATAACTGACCATACAGGCGACGAAGTAAGTTCATGTCTTAATGTCACTTGTGTAGTCTTGCCCAGCTGATTATCTGCATCCCTGTCAGATTTGAGTAAGACTTAATTGTAACTACTGAAAAAGATAGAAGAAGAACCATTCATGTTTGAGAACAAATGGAAATAATTTTGGAGGATTAATCAAGAGAACAGCATCTAAGAACGTTGGACATATCCAAAGGAGATCTCAAGGGTACCAAGTTGAACCACTTATGAGAAGAGGCATGGGAAGGCTTTGTTAGGAATGGGAACCAAAGATTTGATTTGCTTTTAGTTCAACTAGTGAGATCACCATGAATAGAAAGTGGTGGCAAATGATCCATGCAGCCATTCCTAGCCTGTTGTTGTTGTTGTTGTTGTCATTATCATCACTGCTACAGTCAGATCTTTTCATATTCATGAGCTCGATTAACATCATAGTGTATATGTGTTTAAACAATAAGATATTAGATCGTAAACTAGATTTCTTACCGTCTGATACTGCAAATAGGAGCATGCAAAATTCTGTGTATGCTAACCCGTAACTGATGTTGATGCTTAACTCTTACCGGTTATTGCTGGGGCCTTAAGTGTTTCTTTTTCCTCAGCTTCTGATGCTGAAACCCAGAAGGTACGGGGTGGAACATAGAGAGAACTTTTCAGGAGAAGGCGATGAGTATATCTACCATTCCAAAGGCCACGCTCTTAACCCTGGACAGAGGGATTGGACCCGATACCAGCCCTGGCTACCTGTGAAATCTTAATTTCCTTTTTTCTTTCTTTCTTTCTTTTTTTTTTTTCTTCCCTGAAGCATGACTGGGACACGAATTATGTTGCAATGCTACTACTACTTCCGTTTGACCAGCTTTTGTTATCTATCTATCTATCTATGCTACTACTACGAATTATGTTGCAAGTTGGATGATTTTGTAACTGTTTTAATTATTTCCAAGCTAGTTCATACCTCCAGTAAACGGTGGTAGTTATATTAGGAACACATCAATCAGAATTGGGTCTGATCACCGCGCAGTTCAGAATAAGATACCGTAAGTTGCCTAATTTTTTAACGTTTTAATTTTTTTGGGATGTAGTTCCGACCTCCGGCAGGCGAAGGTAAGGAAACCCAGAGGTCTTCAGATCTGCGTCCGGGCTGTGACATCCGGCCCGAAACAAATTAACCCGTCCACTACGCCAATCCGGGCCGTAGACCGCATGGGCTGGATCCATTTCGCAGTAGAATATCTGGATACGCCTCGGTGAACTTACCGCATGCGACTGGGGGCCATCGACGACCTCCAAAAATAATTAAATGGTGCCAAAATCACAAAATGGTGACCGACGGTGAACAGATCTAGTATTAACGGCTTCACCGACTCCACATCTCGCTTGGCCCGTCCGCACAACTCTCGTCCTCTTCTGCTTCTGCCTTCTCTCCTTCCGCAGCTTCGCCAACATTGGCGTTCGCTGAACTAAAGTAAAGCACGATCCACTTGGCGGAGCTTCGAACTATCAAACCACCAGGTGCTCGAGCAAATGCGCCAAAGAAGTTTCTGCTTCTATTTTTACCTGTCATTCTACAAGAGGATGACTTGCTTCCATCGTTTTGCCCAGTCCGTGTTCCAGCTTTTGCTTCCATCGATTTGTCAGAACGATCCGTTAGGAGATGAAAGAAAGACCGTCAAGTCACGAGGCGGCGAGATGGTGCTCGACCAAATGCGCCTACAAAGCTGCTGCTCTCTGGTATTCTGCAAGCAACCACGTACGGTTAACACGTCTGCGACCGCGGAGATAAGAAATGCGTCCGACTCAGAAAACAGAAGAAGAGGAGAAAGCAGCAGACATGTACATGTCTTTTTTTTTTATGTCATTTCGTCGAACGGATACATCGACGACGCAAAGCAATGGGATTTCTCGCACCTGCTGACCGAGGAGCGCCAAATGACGATGCCAGGAGAGATATCGGACTTCATAAGGCCGGCGTCGAACGATCTCTAATGATGCCCGACTGCTTCCGACATCGGTCTTAATTATGTTGCGGACGCATCGGCAGTAGGGTCCGATCACGGCAAGTCAGAATAAGCTAACGCAAGTTGGAAGATTTTGCTGCGTTCTATTATTATTATTATTATTATTTTGGAGACAGTTCAGTGGGAAGCGGTAACGATACCGGGGGGCATTCAGATCTTCGACGTCCGGGCTGCGAGACTCGACCCGACACCCGAACCCCAACTTGGAAGACGATCTGGATATGCCTCGGTGAACTTTCCGAATTCCACCGGGTGCATCAACTGCGACAGAAGTAACAAATCTTCGTTATCTTATTGCGACCGGCGGTGAACAGATATGATAATCGAGG